GCTGTGGTATGTGTTGAACAGTGGATGTGTCAGAAATGCAGACTTTCGGCCCAATGGCGTCGATTCGATGCTCTTTTCCAGCAAATCTTCCGAAAACTTAATTTCGCCGTCTTTTTCATACTATTTATACATTATTAACAAAAAATAATAATCATTCAAACAATACAAGGGCTCAATCCCTACAGACCTCTTCGTGAGCGCCAAAAACCCAGACCAAGTCCTTGAGGTCCTGATCCGAAACTGTCTCATCCAATGAGATGCCCACGTGTTTGCCGTCGGGATAGTAACGCAAATTGATTCGTCTGGACTCGGCTTTGGATCGAATAAACTTCTGGAGTTTGACCTCCACTTTGAGCGTATCGAACGGCATATAAGTAACCACTCGATTGTCGTCGTTTTCCGATATCTTTTGGGCCAAATATAGTGTCTTCTCGTGTATCGCTTTCGCGATATTCTTCAGACCCTGCGGTCCGTGATATATGGCATACATTGCGCTCATGTTGGCCAACAGGGCCTGAGCCGTGCATATGTTGGACGTGGCCTTATCTCTACGGATGTGCTGTTCGCGGGTCTGTAGGGCGAGTCTGAGCGCCCGATTTCCCTGAGCGTCTTTCGTCAGTCCAACCACTCTTCCCGGCAATATTCGGGTCAAATACTCACGACAGGCCAAAAAGGCTGCGTGCGGTCCGCCGTAGTTCAACGGTATGCCAAACCGTTGAGCCGTACCGATGGCTATGTCACAGCCGGGCCCGTACTCGCCCGGCGGTTTGATCATGGTCAGCGCCAGCAGATCCGTGGCCACTATGACGATACAATCTTTGGCTTTGGACTGTTCCACAATCGACGACAAGTTGTCGACATTGCCGTTGGTGTCGGGAAAGTTGACCAAAACGCCACAGAATTGGGACAAATCAAAGAGATCACCCAATTTGGTCACTCCGTCGAACACATCTTTGGTGCCGTCGAAGGCCTCCATTTTGATGCCGAGAGCGTCGGCCCGAGTCTTAACGATGGCCATAGTCTGCGGATGAGCGTTGTTGGAGATGAGGAATTTGTTTCGTTTCTCCTTGTGATGCCTTGCAATTGAAGGGACATGTGTTTGTTGTAGTGATTTAATAGTGACTAAGTTTTTTGTACATATAGTTTACGCGATGCCCTCACCTGAAACACATCTGCATGGCCTCTGCAGCAGCCGTTCCCTCATCCAGAAGACTAGCGTTGGTTATGTCCAAAGCGGTCAAATCGCAAATCATTGTCTGGTAATTGAGCAACGATTCCAGCCTTCCCTGCGCTATCTCTGCCTGATAGGGGGTATACGGAGTCGTCCAACCTATTTGTTACATAATACAAACGTGTATTTGTTTTTCAATCCATAAACTTTTTTTTATGACTTTCACTCAGTTTCAAACTGATTTAAATTTTAACCAAAACTTTACATAAATCTCTCACTCACTCTAAATGCTTATATATTTTATTAACTTTCAGACAATTGAATAAATTACAAGACATGCGATGGGTTAACGGGAAAACTGACCTGGATTCTCGAAAATATTTCTCAATATGGGCGTCGGTGTCACACAATTATAATAACCCATTCCTATGAATGTTTTCCATT